TGCCTCTCAGTCCCTCCCATGTGAGGCTTCCTAGTCCTCTTGGGGTTCTCTCTTCCCTGTAGGTTCCCAATCCCCTCTGTGACAGCAGCTAGAGTCTTTCCGCAGGGTTCCCGTGCAGGGTGTTCCCTCCCTCCCAGCTGCCCTTGGCTGTCGTACCCCAAACCTGTGAGGCTCTGGCTTGAGCCAAACCCCAAATCCTACAGCCCTTTATGCTCAGTCAGGCTTGTGAGTACAGTCAGATGGGAAGAATTTTATTTCATTAAGCAGAATTCCTCTGCTTAAGCTTGTTGGGTGGCAAACAGCCATCAGGCCGTGCCCTACTTATGCTGGCGATGTTTTCTCCGTACACATCAGCAGGTTTCCAAGTTAATGTACTGGAGTGAGCGGCTTCCTGGGAAACCGGGGAGCTGGTGTCCTGTCATTTCTATCTTCTTCACAGCCAGGGAGGAGACTCCCTGGAGTTATGCTCCTTTTGGAGTGTTAACTAGGGGAAAGCCATTCTGGTCTTGAAACCCAACTTGCGGAGCTCACAATCCCCATCTCTGGGCTCAGAGCCTGTTAGCGGCCATCCCAGAGAGATGTGGAGCTGCTGATTAATCTCCTCCCTCCTCTTGCCAGCGACCTGCTCTCCCCGGACTCCCTCCTGAACTGCCTCTATCCAGGAGACCACGGGAGGAAGACGCCCAACCCAGCCAACCAGTTCCAGTTCGATAAAGTGGGGTGAGTGGGGCGCTGCCCCACACATCTGGGGTGGCTTTGCCCAGGCGGTTGGTGTGACCTCCTCCCAGCACGGCACGACCCTCCTCAGCTTGTCAGGGAGAGCTCGGCAGCCAGGAGAGGACAGTGTCCTGCCAGCTGGCATCGGGTGGGCTCATTGGGCACAACTTTGGGTGCAGATGAAGATGTGCTTGCGCCCTCCGGCTGGCTCGCAGGCCGGGTGGTGGGGGGACGAGGGTGGGAATGTTCTAGGGTGGTGTAACCCTTCCTTGTCCCCACAGCATCCTGACCTTGAGCGACTACGTGACAGAGCTGGGGCACCCCTATGTGTGGGTGCAGAAGCTGGGCGGCCTGCATTTCCCCAAGGATCAGCCTCAGGTATGTCACACCCCTTCCCCTCTCCACCAAGAACATCAAACTGGGGTTTGGGGACCCTTTGGGGACAGTTGTATCCTGTACTGTCCCCCCAGAGCTCCCGCTGGCACCAGCCGCTCCCAAACCACGGCACATCTGTGCAGCGGGGCCACGCCGACGTATTTTATCTCCCACGTGTGATAGTTTAAGCCCCGTTACGGGCACTGAGCGGCGCCTTGAGTGTGTGACTGTCCCTGTGGTTGGGGGGGGGTGGCTCCTGGAGCATGGGGGTCTGCAGGTGGCATGGTGGTGGCAGCCCCTCCTGCCCACAGCACACAGTCACTGCGGACAACTCGCTGAGCGCCAGCCACATGGAGCTGACTGTGAAGCTGCTGCGGACGAGGCTGCAGTCCCGCCTGGCTCTCCACAAGCAGTTTGCGTCGCTCGGTGAGTGCCTGGTGTCCCACCCTGTGCCTGGGGACAGGGAGTGGAGTAGCAAGGTCCTCTTGCAGAGGAGAATTGACTGATGTCACCTTCTAGAGTGCTACAGATCTGCAGTGTCCCCCTCAGTATTCCTAGTCGTTCCCTCTGTCCTCAGTGGCAGTGGGGCTGTGAGGGCTGACATGTTTTGGGTGGGAGGGGAAGGCTGTGCCCCCTTTTGATGCCCAGTACCCCTTTGGGACTGGCCATCCTTGCGCTGGGAGTTGATCTGGGCCGTGGTGGGTGGTGAACCACCCACCCACACGTGTCATGTGCCCGTTGAGCAGGCTGGGTGTGCGCTGCCAAGGCTGTGAGCTCTGCTGGACCGCAGCTGAGGCCTCCCCTGCTCTTCTCTGGGCACCTGATGAAGGTGTCAGAAGGATAAGAATGGCCCCAGCTCCTGGTTTTGGAGCATCCCCACCCACAGGACAGTGAAAGAGCTGTGTCCCCAGCCTTCCTCTGCTCAGGTGGCTTTGTCCTTGGTTTCAGAGCATGGCGTTGTGCCAGTCTCCAGTGAGTGCCAGCATCTGTTCCCTACCAAGATCGTCTCGCGCCTGGTGAAGTGGACCGCCATTCCCTATGAAGATTACGCGGTAGGTGCTGAGCGCAAGGCCGTATCCCTTCCAGCTCCCGCGCCGCGCCGGCAGCTGTTCACTCCTCCTCTTGTCTCTCCTCACAGGAGCTGCCCTACACTAAAGATGTGATAGAGGCCAGCTTGGCTGAAGACACGCACCTCTACTACATGGCCCTGATAGAAAGGGGAACAGGTAGGAGTGTTTCCTTCCCCTGGCAGTTGCTAATTCCCACACCGGACGCTCCCAGGGCAGTTTCTGGGAGTCTTCACGGGACATCCCTCCAGTTGGAGGTCCCGTGGGCCGTGGGTGATGTTTCTTCCCTGCTCAGCCAAGCTCCAGGCTGCCGTAGTCCTGAACCCTGGTTACTCCACACTGCCACCCATCTTCAGCCTTTGCCTGAACTGGAAAGGAGAGCGAACCAGCAGCAACGATGACAACATTCGGGTAAGCTGGGCTGGTGGCAGAGGAGTTGGGAGAACCGCTGGCTTTTGGGGAGTGTTCCCAGTGGTTCCCTGCCCATAATAAGCATGCTGTTGGGGTGAGCTGGTGGCGGGGCAGGCTCACGAGACTTGCTGGATGCAGCAGGTCCTGGGAGGGCAGAGCAGAGCAGAGACTCAAGCCTGCTCTGTCCTGTTCCCTCTGCCAGGCCATGGAGAGCGAGGTCAACGTGAACTACAAGGAGCTGTGGGGGCCCAAACCGGGCTACCAGCTCCTCACCAACCAGCTGCAGCGCCTGTGCATGGTGCTGGATGTCTACCTGGAGACGGAGCCCCACGACACCAGCGTGGAGGGGCCCAAGGAGTTTCCCCAGGAGAAGATGTGTCTGCGTCTGGTCAGGTGAGAGCCCGGCACCGTGTGGGGACCCTGGGGCAGTGAGGAGGGACCCTGGCAGGGACCCTGATGGCACTGCTGTCCCTGCAGCATGGCCCTGTCTGACCTGGTGCCAACCTTGAAGCTTCTCCTTTAGCTGCCTGTGGGGATCTGCCCCCCACAGTTGGGCAGTACCCCAGGACCGGGCCCTTTCTGTGGGTGCCGTGGGCTTCCTGACCCACATGGGTCAGCTTTTCCCTCTTCTCCTCTTCCAGGGGGCCCATGCGCCTGAAGCCCTTCAAGTTCAACTACCCTCAAGGGTTCTTCAGCCATCGCTGAGCACCCCCTGGGCATCGCTCTGGGATGGGCTTCTTTTTTAGGAATGTCCCCATCCTCCTATTTCAGTTTCTTTTCCAAGGTTTTGGGGTTTTGTTTAAAGGTTTTGTAGCACAAGGGATTAAATACTGAACTGAAGGAAAAGTGTGTGCGTGCCCCATCTGTGCGGAAGGCTGGGACGAGGGAGGGCTGCAGCAAGCCCTGTCCCATGTCTCTGGGGTCTGGCCAGCGTCTCGCTGCTGGTACATCCCCTTGCCCGGGGCACTGCCTTCCTCCTGCCCTCCCTGCCCACTGCAGGGCCTCAGAACTGCCGAACCGAGGTGGCTAAAAACCGAGATGGCTAAAAATAGTCCTCTTTCCGGAGCCCGCACTGCAGCCCCAGCCTGTCCTTGCCTGCGCTGGCCGTCAGCCAGCTGACTCGGCACAAACCCCGCAATGAGGCGAGGAGGAGGCGGAGGGGGGGCTGCTGTCACTGCCTTCCCGGGCTTGCAGGGGAGGGGGAGAGCAGAGCAGTGTCCTCTGAGAGGTGAGACCGTGCTTAGGGGTTGGGGTGGGAATCCCAACACCCCAGCTTGCCGTGCTGGTGGGGCTGTGAGGGGGTCCTGAGGTTGTTTCCCCCCCTCTCCATCCCCTTGCTGCCAGGGTGGCAGAGTTGGGGCTCTATCCCTGCTTCCAGGTTCGTTGTTCCTCCTGGCCTCCAGCCTCTCCGTGTGTCCCCTAAGGGTGATTTCTCCCCTGGGAAGGTTGATGGACCCTCTCCGTGCAGCCCCTGCAGTCAGGGCGGTGCTGCAGCACTTGGGTTAAACCAGGCCCTACCACCCCCCTGGGAGTCACACTTTAAAAAGGGAAGGAAGAGGGGGGAAAAAAAAAAACTAAACCAACACTGAAATCCTTTTCAGAGCATGGCAGGGGTGGAGATGACCCTGTTTTCAGCCCCTGTGCAGGCAGGGAGCACCCAGGCAGCCCACCAGGACAGGCAGTCCTTTGTCCCTGCTGTGGGGTGAGCTCGCCCCAAGCAAGAGCAGGGCTTTCCTCCTGAGAGGGCAGCTGGGGTCCTGGAAAGCCCTGTGTCATCCCCGGCTTTTCCCCAGCCCTGGGTGACAGATCCCAGCCCCCCCCCACTCCCCGCCAAGCTTTCCTGCCTTCTTTCCCCTCCTCCCCGCCCCAGACAGGAGACCAGCAGAGCGGGAGCGTCTCTGTAAGCACTTTATTTGGTTATTGCACAGAAAGCAAATAACAGTGGGCTGAGGTTCCTAGTGCACTGTGTGTGTCTGTGAGCGTTCCTGCAGCGCCCAGCCTCTCCCACCGAAGCCAGCCGCAGCTCGGCTCACCACTCAGCGGGACAGTCGTCACCCCCAGGCCAGGGAGGGACCCTGCCAACCCCTGTCCCAAGCAGCTACAGCTCTGCGTTGCACTCTTCCGTCGATTGCACATACATTAAATAAATGCACTTATTGGAGAAGGGCGGGCGGTTCCCCTGGGGTCTCTTCTCCTCGGTTATAAATTCAAGTGTTTACATGTGGCGCTCGGCATATAATCACATTCTGCTAGGGAAGCTATCGGCCAAACCGCCGGGGCAGGGCAGCGAGGGGCTCTCCATCTCTCACATGGACATATTGCTAAGATAAAGCCTGACCCGGCGGGGTGTCCCCACCCCGGGCCCGGCTGTCAGAGGGAAGCAGAGCAGGTCCCACACCCAGAGGTGCTCTTCGGCGCCCAGGGCTCTGCTCACTTCTTCCCAGCGCTGGGTACCGGCTCCGGGGCTTTGCCCTCCTTGCTGGAGGGGACCTCGGCTTTGGGGGGCTCTTTACTGGCTTTGGGCTCATCTTTGGGTTTCGCTTTAGCTTTGGGCTCCTCCACCTTCTCCTTCTTGGGCTCCTCCACCTTCTCCTCAACCTTTGGCTTCTCAGCCTCCTTTGCAGCCACTTTGCTGACCTCCTGTTGAGGTTTTGGTGGAGCTTCCTTCTCAGCCTTTCCTTCTTCTGCCGGTTTGGGGCCTGGCTTGGTGGTCTCCTTCACCTGTGGAGCTGGAGGCTCCAGCACAGCAGCTGCCTTCTCTTTTGGCTTCTCCTCCACCTTGGCCAGGACATCTTTCTTGGGAGCTTCCTCTTTCCTGCCCTCCTCAGCTCCGGGCTTGGAAGGAGTCTTTGCCTCCTTGGGCTGCTCTTCCTTCAGAGGGGCTTTCGGCTCCTTTGGAGGGGAGGGGGTGGGCTCCTTGGCCGGAGCCGCTTCCTTCTGCGGAGACTTGGCCTCCTCCTTCACAGGAGATTTGACTTTCTCGGGGGACTTCACAGTCGGGGTCTTGGCTTCCTCCTTTGAGGGGGTTGGTGGCTTCTCTGGGGACTTCACAGCTGGGGTCTTGGCCTCCTCTTTGGAGGGGGTTGGGGGTTTTTCTGGGGATTTGACATATGGAATTTTGACCTCCTCTTTTGAGGGGGGTGCAGGTTTCTCTGGGGACTTCACAGCCGGGGGCTTGGCCTCTTCTTTCGAGGGGGCTGAGGGTTTCTCTGGGGACTTCACAGCTGGAGTCTTGGCCTCCTCCTTTGAGGGGGGTGCAGGTTTCTCTGGGGACTTCACAGCTGCGGTCTTGGCCTCCTCTTTTGAGGGGGGTGAGGGTTTCTCTGGGGATTTGACAGCTGGGGGCTTGGCCTCCTCCTTTGAGGGGGTCGGGGGCTTTTCTGGGGATTTGACAGCTGGGGGCTTGGCCTCCTCTTTTGAGGGGGGTGACGGTTTCTCTGGAGACTTCACAGCTGGAGTCTTTGCCTCTTCTTTTGAGGGGGGTGCAGGTTTCTCTGGGGACTTCACTGCTGGGGTCTTGGCCTCCTCCTTTGAGGGAGTTGGTGGCTTTTCAGGGGCCTTGATGGTTGGGGTTTTGGCTTCTTCCTTTGAGGGGGTTGGTGGCTTTTCTGGGGACTTGACAGCTGGCGTCTTGGCTGCTTCCTTTGAGGGGGACTCAGGTTTCTCTGGGGACTTGACCTCCTCTTTTGCAGGAGACTTGGCCTCCTCTTCTTCACCCTCTGCTTCAGCTTTCTCCTCTTCTTCACCCTCTGCTTCAGCTTTCTCCTCCTCTTCCTCCTCTTCAGCTTTCTCCGCCTCATCCTCCTCTGTGACCTCCTCGGTCACCTGGATTTCCTCTGTCTGCTCCTCCACAATCACTGTCTCCTTCTCAGATTTTTCCACCACCTTGATTTTCTCCTCACTCTTCACTTTGATGTTGGTGGTGATGCTGGGAGCCTTGGGGACCACCTCAGGGAAGGAGATCATCCCAAAGCCAGACTCGATCCGATATTCCTCCCCTTCCAAGAGCTTTCTGCCAAGAAGAGACAAGAGCAGGGCACTCAGTGATTGCTTCTCTTCCAGCTCTCACCTCCTCCCATGACCAGGAGCTGCCAGCCATGTCCTGCAGCTCCGACTCCCTCCTTGCCCAGCTTTCGATGTGCTGACCCTCCTGCTCTACACCCTGGTCTGTGCAGGTTTCCTGACCCTTTCCTCTGCAAGCCATGTGCAGGGCTGGGTCACCCAGGTGGATGTTGCCCACCATGGTCTTCTGATGGAAGTGTCTCTTTCTCACCAAGAAGGGCCCAGGTGCTAGCGAGGGCCCTCGAGGAGCATCTGCCAAGACACCAGCACTAGGCACTGGCTGCGACCCTCCCCTTGCCCACCCCATACCTGTAGGCAGCAATTTCAATGTCCAGGGCCATTTTGACGTTGAGAAGATCCTGGTACTCCCGGAGCTGAGCTGCCATCTCCCATTTGGTGTTCCTCAGCTCGCTATCAAGCTGCTGGATGGTTTCCTGCAGCGGAAAGAGCAACTGGTGACATGGGGCGCAGGGGGGGAGCAGTCCCCAGGAGCAGAGAGACACAGAGCACCCCTAAACAGTCCCCTGGTCTCCAGAGGAGGGACAGACTGCTCACCCAGCACTGGGGTGTCCTCACAGAAGGGTCTGCACCTGCCTCCCCCAGCAGACACAGAGTGAAGGTGACACATCTAGAGGCTGTTCCAGTGTGTCCCGTTCCCTTGGGGGAACTGGCAGGAGCACTGCACCATCTCAGATGAGAGCTGCACTGCTGCCAGCAGAGCCCCGGGTCCCCTCCCAGAGCTCCCTTCGGCAAGGACAAGCTGTGGGAACGTTTCTAGGACTTGGGTGAGTCTGGTGGCCACCAAACCCCAGCCCGAGGCTGACGGGGATGGGGCATCACCCTGGTGACAATGTTTCAGTCCACGGCCAGCACACTGTGTGGGCCTCTGTGCTGCAGCTCTCAGCTCTGGGACACAAGACGCAACCTGAACCCTGGGCAGGTTTTGGTGGTGTCATGGGCAGCTCAAAGCCAGGCAGAGAAGTGGGACAGCTCCATCATGGGTGAGGGACACAACAGTCCATATCCAACCTCAGGCTCTGGGTACTTGAGCATCAGGAGGTGGGGAAGGCCAGCTCTAGACACAGCCCCGAGTATTTGCCGCTGGTCGTCACTATCTCAGAAGCCAAAAAAGCACCAGCACTGCTCATCCCTGGCAGCTGGATGGTCCCTCCCCACCAGCTGATGTCTGGGACACTGCCTACTGCACCACATTACCTGGTAGGACAGGACATCTGCATGATGGCGCTCCTCCGAGTCCTGTCTTTGCCTCTCCAGTGACTCCTGGGTCCCTTTGAGGGCTTCGAGCTCGGTGGTCTTGGACTGGAGCTGGCGGCGGTACTCGCAGATCTCCTCCTGGGCCAAGCGGATGGCGTCCGTGTTCACCTTGGCAACCTCTGAGAGCTTGTCCAGCCTCACTGCAACAGGGGAAAGGAGAAGCTGCAGGGAGGAAGGCCGGCTGCAGCCTCCCCTTCTTGGGGAACATCACGTCCTTCAAGCCTGCACATCCCTTTGCACTCACACCCTCCGCAGAGCCAGCCCTGGCAGAGGCTCCATGAGCGCACAGTGCTCTGCCTGTGCTCGCGCTGTGCCGGGGAGGTGAAGGTGCCCGGGCTGAACGGGTGGTTTTGCCATCCCGGACTTCATCCGGCGTAAACCCCACGCTGCAAACCCCTCCCTCTACCCTTCAGCTCCTGCCACAACCCCAATGACCTGAAGAGCTGCCTGCTCGCTCTGCTCACGCTGCCTTGCCACGCCCGGCTCCGCACCGGCTTGGGGCGAGGCCGAGGGGTGGGTGGGGGTTGCCGCAGCGCCCCGTGGCCACCCGAGGGGACAGGGGACAAGGGACAGAGCCCGCTGCTCCCGGCGCCCTCGGGGGACAGCGCGCCCCGCGGGGACAGCGCGCCCCTGGGCTCCGCGCACGCCCCTGTCCTCGGTGCTGAATCATCGCTGTCCGTGGTGCTGAATCACTGCTGTCCGTGGTGCTGAAC